GCAGGATGCAGCGCACCCTTCATGCGACTCGCCGAATACCTCACGGCGCTTCGCGCTTGGTGATGTGCGAGCCTGATCCGGTGAGAACCCGGCGTGCTTCATCCCGGCTTTGTAGGGATGCGAGGTCAACGGCCTAAAGACTACGGCATGCACGACTATGAGCACACACACACACACAAAAAAAAAAAAACGCGCTTACATATGCATACCGCCCATCACCTCTAATCACCCTTTATACTGTTTTGAGTGCCCGCCGTTCTGCCGAGCAAACACCTGAGTGCCACTACATACAACGATACCTACCTGCTCCGCATAGACCCTTCACATACGAACGACACTTTGCAGCCAGACACAGGGGGAATGGACTCGTTGTCCATGGCTGTATAAGAGGTTACAATCTGCTCCGTAGCCGATCGAGAGCCCACCACACGTGTGCAGCGCTTCCATGTACTGTGCATGGTTACGTGGTAGGAATTCGCCACCGCACTTTTTTTTTGTTTCTCCCATCATTGGACTCTGTCGTCTGCCCCTCTAGCCCCTATCCTCCACTTCTACTAATAGCTAGACGACCCAATCGGGGTCACATAGGAGGGGGGTGCTGGACCCCCTCCTGCGGTTCATGCCTGAGGTATTTTTATCGCGAGAAGGGTCCAGCAATCCCTTCCCTCGCGACTTACGAAGTTGATTATGGTTTACTAACAACGAGCATTGCGGCGCGTCGCTTTCATCCTAGACCAGGATTTATATAGTGAGAAAAAAACTCACTCTGCCGGGACTCGAACCCATGACCTGGCCCTTAGCAGGCTGCGAGGGTACCCACTAGACCACCGGGGCGACCGCACTGTACCTTAACGGCTCCCGTTCCCAGCTCCATGTCGACGAGGACGTCGTCCAGAACGACGGGTATCTTTCTGTCCGTGAAGGGGTGCACCAGGGTCTTGCCGTGGAACTTCTTGTAGCGCTCGTCCTTCGGGTGCACGGCAACTCCCTGTCGAATGAACAAACAAACAAACAGACAAATTACGACGCGAGCACGCAAGACAAAGCAACATGTGAGTGACATCGTACCACACGAGAACCACCGGGTCACCAGCTGGGAAAAAAGGAAGACTTGCGTACCACGGTTGATGACGAAAACGCTTTGATTGGAAGGAAGTGCGGCAGCAGATTCATCGACGTACAACGCCCGTCCCTTGATGGAAATGAAAGGTCACAGCCCCTTGATGAGAGTGAAAGGTCGCCGAAGGCACGTTCGAAAACTTCTCCACACATTTTGTTGTGACACTGCTGCTGCTGCTGCGGCTGTTCCTACAAGTAGCGCCTCCCCAAAAGAAACGAAACGAAACGAAATGCTTGTACGCACCAAACCAGACAGCTGACAGCACACGATCCCAGGCACTGCCTCATACGCGCGCGAGAGAGATAGAGAGAGAGAGAGAGCCAAACACCAAGAACACGACGCTACATCGCACCTCGCACCCAGACCTAAGAATCACACTGACGGCCACCGCTGTAGTGCCAGCTCGCTTCAACACGCATCCTACGTACAGCAGTGTCGTGGCCCCTTTTCGTGAAACCGTGAGCCTCTGTTTCTAGACACAAAAGAAACTCAACTACTGGCCCGTACTGCCGTACCACAATCGATGGACCGCCTTCGCGAGAGAAACGAAGTTTATTGAGGAAATAGAACAGGGAGGGGGTACGGAGACCCTATTCCCTACCCCTACCCTTAACCCCCCCCCCGGTGTTTGCCATCGGGATTGGGTTTTCGTCGCTTGGCAAAGACGTTGTAAAACAAGCCAACTCACTTCGTGAACTCGGCAACCAGGTTACCGTTTTTTTTTTCTTCCTCCGGTTTTTTTTTTGGCGGTAACCATAATAGTGGTCGAGTAGATCATGTTGTGCGGGGTGGAGAACCCGCTCCGCGCAAGGGGGATGATCGCACCACGTTGTGTTAAAATGGTCAAGCACCCTCAAGGCAGTTACACAGCAGTGCTTACAACTGTCTCTGGAAGTGAAAGCGCCAGAAAATGCATTAAGTCATACGCAGCTGTCATCCGTACGCAAGGAAGTAAGCACAAGATGCCGAACACCCTTTGCAGGATGCAGCGCACCCTTCATGCGACTCGCCGAATATCTCACGGCGCTTCGCGCTTGGTGATGTGAGAGCCTGGTCCGGTGAGAAC